TATATCCTGTATCAACTATAGCAGTCTGATGTAATTCAGGTGGAGGACAGTATTTCTAAATCTGTCATGACAATAGAACTGTGTTGAAATAAATTAATTCAAAAATAATAGTCAGCCTTTTTGGCCCATTATTACCCAGAGATGTACAAAAGCAGAGACTGTGATAGATCAGGTGACATCAGCTTTTCCTTAACACTAATATTAGTAGCTAGCCTGGGGATATAGAAAGTACTGTGCAATTCATTGCCTTCTTTTTGAATGATCAAATCTCTTTGCATGAGAAAGGCTATAAATACTCTCTTTGTTTTTTTTGCAACCCAAGGGCAAATCTATGATAGAGACAAGATTTTGCAGCCACAGAATTATAGAAAACTCAGTGTTCTGCTGTGCCATTAATAGGAGCTCCAAAGTACTTTTGAGATGACCTAAAAATAAATCAGTGTATCTCTACAGCGTTATGGACAAAACTTATATATTACAGACACGGCAGGAGGGGGGCAGAGAAGAAAGAAATGTATATGTAAACAAATCTTTAGAAGGAACATCTTCTAAAGAGTGTGTGTTATGAAAATACGTAGGTAAAACTTGCACCGAAGTAAATGCCCAGTGTGAAATCCTTATCTAAATTAAATTCCCTAACTCAAAAATGTTGGTTGTGAATCAGCCAACACTGAGAAGTCTCTGTAGTCAAGATGTTTGTCACTTGTAGTGAAGAAGGAGAATTCTAGTCTAAATAGATTCTGAGGCTACTACTGCAAAAAATCCCACAAACTCTCGTCTGTCCTATTTCACTTAGAAATAGATCACCTAAACCTAAGCCCACAATCAATGGCTGTAAGTAGCACTTTATCAATAGAAAATGGTATAGTGCTAATGACAAACCCTGGTTCAAACCCACAATACAAATGAAAGACTGGGCTATTGGGACCTCCCTGGGACACAGACTCTATCACATTCTTAGACCAAGAATGTTCTCTTTTGAGCTCCCTCTGAAAAGTCGATGGGATTTCTTCCTCTGTTATTCCTTCTGGGTGGTGATGTCAGAATCCCTCTCCCAGCTTTAATGTCATTCTTGAGCAGTTTGTAGACTTTTTTTTCTTGTGTTGATGCTATTTTTATGTAGTTAATTTGTTTTCCACTACTCTTACAGCAAGCTAACTTATCCCTTCAAATGATTTTGAAGTGATCTCTTAATACCCTCGTAGAAGATAAGCTCTCTGTTCCTCTGATAAAAAGAATGGTCAGGATTGTATGCCGCATTTCAAGTAATGTTCATATATACTTGAGTTTGTAATAATGACATCAATGTTTCTCTCTTTTTTTTTTAATTGGAAATATCTTGCCTCATAGATGCTTGGATTGTGTTTCTCTTTCATGGGTATAGGAGGTTGATAATAATTTTGTTTGACTATTTAATTCACATCTTTCTTCAAGCACTCTTTATGCCTGAGATCCCCAAAACAATTCTTGTTTTTACCCTTTTTTTATGATCTCGCACTTTGTACAATTCATTTTCATTCAATTACTATTACATTGGCTCCCAAGGTCATTCACTTCTAGTATGATAGTACAATTTCCTTCTGCATGGATAATTCATCTCAATAGCGTATTATCAACAGATTTCAGTAGCATACTTTTCTTTTGTATGATAAGTTTATGAATGAAAGTATTAAATAATATTTGCCCTATGCTGGCTTTTTGAGAATTTCACTAGAATTCCACAGTTTTCCTCTATAGTCTGTATAAAGAAGGTAGATTCACAGTATATTTAACATAACTGAATTGTTGCTCCTTTCGACATCTGAGAAACATTTGCAAAGGTTATGTGTTATAAACACGTGGACCTTGTGTTTATATCAATGAGGATGATATTTATACAAAAATATCTGGAATAGAAAGATTTTAAAACTGAAAATGGGTGCATAGAAAAACAATGTAGGTTTTTTTCTGTTTGTTTACTTTAGTTGCACCCATGCAATATAGTATTGAATCTCTTAGTCAAAAATGGATGGTAAAATACAAACTGGCAACATAAAAATTATCTTTCATGTGGAAAATGACAAATCTGCACATCTTCTTTCTTTGAGAAGAAGAAAAAATAGTTCTCTCCAACAATATAAAGCAATGCTGACACCTACAGAGAATGTATGTAAATATCAACTTAGAATTTGCATTTTCTGAGAATTCCCGGAATTATTTGGTAAAAGAACAAATGATTTAAAGGAAGCTCTTAAAACTGTTAAGAAAAAAACAATCTTTATTTTCTGCTTAGGTTTTTGGTAAATCAGATAAAATTTTGAATATAAACCATATGCTTTAAAAAGCATACAATTTACTTCTAGTAATGTACATTTCCAATTGCATAAAAATATTTTTAAACAGATTGATTCATGCAGCAGTAAAGGACCCAATAACCATGAACCAAGCCACCAGCATGATGTACATTGCTGCACAGAATCAGGTTTACTGCCTCTGATGGACCATTTGCCCTTTCCTCCCTCATTGTGACACAACAGGATTATATTAGTATTACAGGTTTGCAGCTCCTTTGCTCAGCCAAGCGGGCCTATAAAAACTTCTGTGTAATAGGTTGCCCATATGTGGAGCAAAGTTAAAGAAAAATCAGCCTAACAGATTGAGGAGAGATTTTTGTAGAAGAGACACAGCTCTTTTACTATTTGTTCACTAATGTGCTATTGTGGGTTATGCAAGCTGTGATATCTACCACATTGCTGCAGAAAGGTGGACTTCTTTTTCTTCCTTAGAAGCATATAATAGGTGTTTTAAATACATAAAAGAAGTATAACTAACAATGAATTCTCTGCACTAGCCATTTTCTCAGAGGCAATTTATAGGCTTGACAGTATGTTGCTTAAAGTGGTGATTAAGCTAAGTGTCCAACAGATAGGAGGTACTAAACCATGTAAAAAAAAATTTGGAAAAACGGGAGATGGCAATTGCAGGCTCATCTAACATTCATGTTATCCACACTCCCATTATGCAAACATCTGGGAGAATTTCAAACATCTGTGAGAATTTCAACTCCCAAAGAAAATTGTTTAAGTGAGTTCAAAATAGGTTTTGAAATCTGAACTGCTCAAGATCTTTGAACTTTTTAGTTTTGGTTCCAAATATGATATGGACCAACTCAACTTGTAAGCAAATGGAAACTTCTAGGAAGTCTGAAGGACTAGATGGCTTGACTTTAGATTTAGTGGGTTTTAGGAAGCTACAAATCAGAAGGCAATACTATTCATCAAAGAAAAGCCATAATTATTTTGATATAAAAGGTTGAATAAAATCCTCTCATTCTAGGCCTCTACTGTTTCTTTGGAAATGAAAATATCACAAGATATTAATATGTGTCTTTGAAAACCAGCTGCATTTCATTCCTGGAATCTTTTCATCTGATAGACAGCAGTGCTTCACCAGTCAGATTGTCAAGATCTTTCCATTGAAAAAGTGATCTATTTGGACTAGTTAATGTGTATTACAATTTCTGTTGAACAATCAAAATATTAAAGTTCTTGCATATTTATTTTTAGCATTAGGTAGAATTGTTTGCATGTTTTATTTGTAAATGGTAGAAACTAAAACAGCAGACTTGCTCCTTTCATACTGTAACAATGACCCTAAAAGTGTGTCTACAGTACGTTTAAGTGCAGAAAACAGTTTGATACATAACATAGTCTGTATATTCAAACATATTCTGATGCATATATATGAATACCAAGTTGATCTTAGTTGAGGGAACTGAACCAAGTTAAGAAATACCCTTTCCTCTTTAATAATTGCATGTTTACATTCTCAGCTTTTAATTCATGTATGTGTTTAGAACAGAATCAATCATTGTTTTAAACTCCATTGTTCTGGTGGATCTGAGCATGATGACAACAGCAAAAAGCTTAGCTTGCAATTTTGAATGCTGAGAGACTAACTTCTCAATGATATTTTCCTAACACCAGTGGGCAAACAAATACTGTTAGTGGTTATTTGCAAAGGCTTAGGCCTTACATGTACATAATTAAGTAGAAGTGTAGCCGGCAATTTTATTTCTTTTCTTGGGGTGGTATGTAGAAGACGGGTGCTGTCTCTTGCCTCTCCCTCCATTGCCTTGAGAGTTTATAGCAGCTTTGTGTGTGAAGTTGCAACACAATCAGAGCATTGTTTCGAAGCGACCAAAGGCAACGTGTTATTATGTTTTTATAGTAGCTTTCAGCCAGTTAACGGGGGAAACGGAAATCCCCAGAGAGATGTTTTGCCCACGACCTGGAAATAGCGGGTGCCTGGCGGGAGCCCGCCGGCGCTGGCGGCCCCAGGCCGGAGGGCCAGAGGCGGGGGCGGGGTGGCTGCTGCCCTCTCGCCCGCCCCGGCTCTCACTAGGGGTCGCAGGATGCCAAAAAATCACAACTGGATCGGGAGGGCAGGGATGCCAGACGTCTGCACGTTACCTTCCATGCCATGGCTTGCAAGCTGGGCAAACTTTTGGGAAAATACGCAAGTGTCGAGACGATGGGGCCGCGCATTGCGGGTGGCTCTGGTTGCTTCGTAAAACCTAGGTTTGGTCAGGACAGGAGGGTTGAGTCTGGGAAGAAGACCACATCTAATTATTATTATTAACTACATGTGTTAGGTAATCTGTAAGAAAGGCCTAATGCTGGTACAGGTGAGATTGGTTTTGTTGCAGAGCTTAATCTGGATATTAACTGGAGACTTGGTCAGGCAGACTTCATTGCAGTCTACAACTTCCTCATGAGGGGAAGAGGAGGGGCAGACACTGATCTCTTCTCTGTGGCGATGAGGGACAGGACCCGAGGAAATGGCCAGAAGTTGTGTGAGGGGAAGTTTAGGCTGGATATTAGGAAAAGGTTCTTCACCCAGAGAGTAGTCGGACTCCCCAGAACCAAGCCTAACAGAGTTCAAGAAGTGTTTGGATGATACTGTCAGGCACATCGTGTGACTCTTGGGGATGGTCCTGTGCAAGGCCAGGAGTTGGACTCGATGATCCTTGTCAGTCCTTTCCAACTCAGCACATTCTGTGATTCTGTGATTTGTATGAGCATACAGAGAGAAGAAAACAGGTTTAGGAAGGAGCAAAAGTAGTAATAGTTTGAAGGCTGAATAATTTAGAAGTCATGATCTATCACTTTAGTATAACTTAGTCTTAAACCAGGAATATTTCTGACTGGTTTCACTACTAGCATTTTGTGCAATATTTGAGTGTTTATATTACAAATTTTTCTAGTAAAAGGATTTTGATAATATGTATTATTGCATTTATCTGCAATGTCTCTCCTGCAAACCGCTATTCATGTCACTGAAAAACAGAATCCACACAAATACAAATTTGGCTATGGTAGATGGAGCTGGGGGTTTTTTAGATGTTAGGAATTAAGTGCACTTAATTCCAATTCAGGAATTGGATTTTGAGGCTACTCAAACCATGACAATATGGTAAATGCAATTCTTTAACAAACAAAATGCATGTGAGCACATATACTTAAAAAAAAAATAAATCTTACCAGTTGTGGCAGTTCTACATAATACTAAACAGAAGTACAAACATACACCTTCATTCTTATGCTTCACATTTGAAGATTCTGAGCTGTTCATATGTTCAATGTTTTAAGCCTGTACTCATAAAGTAGGAGCTTCAGTGCCTAATCTGACAAGGGCATTCTTACCAGGAAACCCAAACCTAGAAGTCTGGAGAATGTATAGCAAATCTGACTCTTCAGAAAATCTATACTGCTTGTGCAGTGACACTGGACTCTGTATTAAATGCAACACAGAACTGTGCACGTGTAAGTGGTGCCTGGGACCTCTTTCACCCTTTTCTGGGAAGGATGAAAATTTTATATAAATGTTGATTCCAGATCCTGGAATTAATTTTGGAAGTGCTTTGCTCTCAGATTTTAGTTTGGGTCCTTTATATTGTGAGTATGTGTGTGTACACGTATATGTGCCCACAATTGCCAATAACTATCTCTAGTCAGTTGTCTGTGACACATCCAGTATTGCAAATTATATAGCTTTGAGGTGAGGGGGTAAAAAATGAATTGCAAGAGCTTAGTACTCTAATTGTGATGAAGGAATATTGTATTGAAATGGCTGCAAGTTAAGCTCGAATTGTAAAGCATATGTATATATGTGTAATAACTGTAAAATATGTACTATTTACAGCAAATATTGTTTGTGTCTCCACAAAACTATCACCTTTGTGAGTGAAAGAGCATTCACCTTTAAAATACAATATAATCCCTGAATTCTCCAGACAGAGCTTATTAATTATTGCTGCATGGTACATCAGTGCCTTCTTTCAAAAGAAGCTTTTGCTGGAAAAGGTTCTATTGTAGTAAAGGAGAACTGACAACAAACACAATACAAATAATTTTGGAGAAAGCTGGATAACATGGATGCAATTAGGTTTGCCATAGACATCTTATGACACTGAAGATTAGAAAAAGGTACTAAATAAGACACCTTAGGTACATGAGGTGGTGGTTTATATTTTGGTTTGGTTTGGGGTTTTTTGTTTGTTTGTTTGTTTTTTATTGGTGGTTTTTTGTTGTTTTGGTTTGTGGGTTTTTTTCTGGTTTTTGTTTTTTTTTTTGATAGCTGTACCATAAAATTCAGTGGGTATAATGCTATCTGTAGCTACCTGTGTTAATGAAATGTATGTTAGACAGTGTTGAAAAGGGTAAAAGTTCTGTGCTGTGTAGAGAACTTATGTAAATATTACCACAAATAAAACAATACTCATAACTACAGGACAATATTTCTGTCATTGATAGGTCTTGTATCATAGCTTCATACTGCTTTCTGTAAGACAATTGCCATCCATTCCTCGTCCTGGCTGCTGGAGATAGGCCTTATTTATTTTCAGTGATCCAGAGTTAGAAGAATACATTGTGTCTATGTAGAAACCCATTTAGGGCAGGGTTCCCCTATATGCTTTGATTCCTTACCTCCACTCTCAGTGTTACATGTTTTCTGGAGTAAGTGCCAGAGATAAGTGATAAATTACCATGTAAACTAAACCAGAGGTTTTTCATGTGAGTGGCACATAGCTCAAAACCATGAATCCTGTTCGGCAAGGTGCTGAGCTGCTCCATCTTCTAGAACTGAATAGAAGATCAAAATGCTCAGCAGTCACTCAGAATCAGGCTCGTTAGGGGCTTTTTTCTGTCAAAAATCATCCACTGACTCCCAGCTATGTGACAGTATGCTGAATACTGGAGGGTAAGATTAACCCTCTACACCTAGTCAATCTAATAACAATTGTCACTTCTAAGTCTACGAGCAACATTTGGTCACAGAAGAACAGGTCTAGGAATAGTAATATCATTGTTATAGTTTATTACACTTATATTATCATATAATTGCCAAAGAAACTATGTTCACCAGCTACCAATGTCTAGAATGATGACTGATAAGTGACCCTGATCAGTTCCGATGCAAGTCAAACACAAGTTTGCTGTCAACTTTGACAAGGAGCAGCCTCTTAAAAAGTTGAGGATTGAATCCTGAATGCTTTATCAACTTGTAAAAATAAACTGCAAACTACAAACCAAACAGTTTTTAGCTGGTTTTTTTTTGCATGTTAGACAAAAAAGTGAACCAAACAAAATCAAGTTGCCAAACATTTAGATGCCAGTTTTTCAACTGGCAGCTTCTATCTATGCTCTGAAGAACTGTAAGCTAAGCTCTGCTAAGCTCAAAGCTCATAGACTTTGTTTTTTAATTAGGAGAAGGTCAGAATGCCTCCTAATATTTGGAATGCAGCAGTTTTTAGATAAGTGAATATTTAATATGACCTCTTACACTATCCTCCTATACCTTCTAGCTTTGAACATTGCTTTAACAATTAAGCTCTTCTGGCCCTGTGTTTAAATAGCTGTCCACGGCTACTGCAAATTGATTTATTGCTTGATGAGGATCAGGGATGCTGAGCAAACACAGAACAGTTTCTAATTTAAGTTGTGCACCATTGGTTTTGTTATTGTTGCTTGATTACTTGTTTTAACATCAGTACATGTTATCAATGTAGTTTTGTTCTTCTGCAGTTTTTAGAGTATTAAAAATGGAGAGGGTATAACACAAATCATGTTATAAACACAGTCTGGTTGGGTATCTAATATCAAAATTCCTTGACACTGTCTGCTGGTAGATATTGTTTAAGTTGCTTATATATCTTTCCTTAATTGTGAAAATTTGATATAACATTTTCCATGCTAGTATCTGCTACAAGCTGATTTTCAGTTTTAAATTCTTCTTCATCAGCCTTTTTTTTAGAAAGTTAGCTTAAATTATCCAGGTATTTGAGAATGAAACTTGCAAATTAAAAATCATAGCAGTATTTTTGGATGGGCTTCAGTATGGTCAGCCTGTAGGAAATGCAGTTAAATCTTGAGCAGAATGGAAAGAAGGAGAGTATCAGTCCTTATGTCAAGGGATATATCCTTTTTTACCTTTAACACAGCCAGCCTTGAATACATGCAGTTTTAGCAGCTCTCTTACCTGAGTGTCTCACCTGCAATTATATATCACATGATAATTTTGAGCTGTGCCTCACTTGGATCTGGAACTTAATTGAGAAGCAGCAACGATTTCAGGTGCTTAATCCACCTCAGTTGTATCTGTAGTATGGGGAGGGGAAGGTTGTTCACTTGTATAGATGGGGAAGAAGGACTGATCTTGCAGCATGGTGAAGTCAGCACAAAGCTCCTGAGAAAGAATTAGGAGAAATCAGCAATGGGAATGGTGGATATATTTTGGGACAGTGAAATTTTTTGCATAAGGAAACCAGGCCTGAGAAGTAACCAAGTGAAGAGATGGATGGAGGGTAGCAGACAAGCAAAAATTGCCTGAACATCAGTGTAAGGGCTGGAGCAAGGAGAACTTTGTAACTGGGAAATAAGGTCAAGGAGCAAGACCAACTTTGTGGCGCACACCTGCAGTAAAAAACAGACAAGGAAGGTGGATGTCAACATAACAAAAAGTTATATTGGGTGAGTAGACATAAGAGAAAGATCAACTAGATAAAGGGGATGAAAACTAAACAACAACGACAAAAAGAACCCTGCACAGCTGAAGATGAATCTGAGAGTGAGAAGTCCCAGAACAAAATTAAAGAAAAGTGCAATTAGGGCAGCTGGAACTGGGATACAAATCAAACACTACCATTAACTGGATAAGAAAAATAAAAGTGGGATGAACAGCCAAGACTGAACAGAGAATGAAGACAGGCTTGAAACAAAAAGCCAAGATAAGGCAAAGCATGGACATGGGAAGCAAGCAGATGGGAGTTTGCTATTTAAAAAACACCCTCTCCCAGAGTTTGGAACGGATTCCAAGATTCCCTCTTCTGCCAGTAATAACCATGAAATCCAGTGGTGAAGACAGACACATCTTTTCAAATGCTGGGCCAAACACAGCACTACCTATTCATGTTAACAGGTACTGCGTTGAGGAGCCAAAGACTCAAAACAGTGGATGAATTATGTGAATATTGTTAAAGGTGAGGCTGTTGATGGCAGGCGCCTGGTCATCTTTATTCTAGAAACTGAAGGAAGCATTAAAGAAAAAGAATTATGGGAAGAGAAGCAGTGTCCAAAGTCTCGAGAGAGCTGAACAGTCCAAAAATTGTGTCTTAGTCCTTGCCTTTGCCAGCACGTTCCTTGATAAAGCTGGTTCAAGGCTTTCAAACTGCACTTCTTGCTAAATATTTGCTTCTCATTTTCAGATGCCTGAAAACTCCAGGGTTTGATTAGAGGTAGTTAGATAGTCAGTGAGTGATATTACTGCAACTGAAAGCAGTGGGAACCAGGCCTTGAAGAAATAAGCTTTTCTACAGTGCCAAGTCCTGACAGGTCTCCAAGATATCAAACTAGGCAATCTATAACTGTTTTCCAAATGTAATATTCATATCCTGTCAAAATATCCCCTCATCTGAGGGGTGTATTATGAAACTAAAATAGTTAATATTTTTGAAGCCCATAAATACTGTAGCAACAACCTCCATAAAATGCCCATGAGGAAATTAATAACTGTATTCAGAGTACGATCTGAATAAATGTGTAATGAATAAAGCATGGGGCATACTTTCAAAAATAAAGCAGAAAACATAACATTGAAGGCTTTTTGTTAATTAAGCAGAGAGGTCTGTAGAAAAAATTGTATGCAAACATGCAATGAACAACTTTCATAACACATGAGTACATGTGGGAGAGAAGGGAGAAATAAGGTTTCTCAGGTGAGCTCACTGTTGTTAAGATCATGAGTGCTTGATTTTAAATTTCAAAATTTTAATTTTAGTTTATATAATTTACTCAGTATACCTTTATGATTGCATACATGTATGCTTGTTACTGTAAACAGTTTATTTGCTACAATGCGCTTTCAGCCTCAGTATTTCCCTACAGAATAACCATTTGGAGAATGGGAAAATGCTTAAACATAACTTCAGCTGTTTCAGAAGTGCTCTAGGTACCTCAGAGACAGAGAATGTGTTTATCAGGAAATAAAGCATGAAGGTAACCAGCTCCCGCAGAACTTCTCTGGTTTAGCCTCCTGAAAAATCCCATGAGTCCTTGTCCCAAGGAGCTGACCCATCATGGTCTTCAGCCTTCAAAGCCTTAGGCATGTGCTGAGCTTGATGTTTGTGAATAAGCCCATTGTGTCCACCCACCTAAAACTCCACACTAGATGGAGGTCTAAGCAGGAGACAGATAGCCAAAGAATGAGGAGGAGGTGAGAGCAATGATATTTCAGATGGATTTTTTTTTTAGTTCTGTGATTGTGTTTGTCTTTTGTACAGACTTGTCCTTTTTTAAAAATGTTTTTTAGTTTGTTTGGGTGTTTTTTGGTTTGGTGGGGTTTTGTTTGTTTGGTTTGGTTTGTTTGGTTTTTTTTGGCGGGGGGGGGGCTGTATTTTTTGTGAGTATGTGTAGGAAGAGCTGGAAAGCCTCCTGCTTTCTGGATTAAAAAAAACCCAAAACCAAACAAACAAAGAACCAAAAACACCACCACTACTTTTAATGTAGATGTATTTACCATTATCTGTGTCCCTGTAATATATCCGCAAATCAGGAAATTTAAAGGGAAAGGGAAAATGCTTGGAGCTTTGTTGTTGCTGTTGTTGTGTTCCTTTGGTTGGTTTCCTTCCAGCTTAAGCATTCTGTCTTCCTGGCTATGTGTTCGTTTCTTTGGAAACGGCTGTAGGATGGATTTTTGATTGACTGCGTTGTCAGATGGATTATCAGAGTTGTGAGCTTTTTGGAATGGTAGACATGAATGTGTGATAAGAAAAAAATATTTTGTACTTAAAATGTTTCAAAATTTTGCATCATGAAAGAAGTTAGGTTGAATAATTAAGAGGTTAATTAGGGAAAAGGGTGGGGTTTTTAATGTGAAACAGTTTGGTAACTAGGAAAAAAATTCTCTTAATATGAGGAAAGCTTTTTACTAATGTGACTGATGGGAATATTAATACCTAAGCAATGTAGAATAGTTTCTGCAGAACTGCAATGCTTATTTTAAACAGTAATTCTAATGTGTAGTTGCTCTGGATTACAAGCAGAAAACAGCTTTTACCCTGACCTATACACACATTTATTTGTTACAGCACTTATGTGCCCAGATTTCTGCATGACTCCCATCTAGCATTTCTGAATTTGTTTCCTGTCTTAGTCAGGGCTCTGCATGGCCAGCTGTCTTCAAGACTGTGAGCACTTGCTGCTGCTCTGCCAGTGTTGATGATGCTGAGGTCGGGGCAGATTGAGGCTGGGAGTGACGTCAGTGCCTACCTTGCTGGGAGAGTTAATCTCCTGCTGGAGAGGCTATAATAATCTCCTCACTTGGGAGACTGGCATGTTGAGGATTGTATGTTGTACATTCCTCTACTAGGGCTGTAAAGCAATCAGCAAAGTCAGTGTTTCTAAGGCTCTATTGACAAACATGTGCTTGCTAGGCAGAGATTGTTTCTTTTTGGGATAGGGGTGCATAGGCACACGAAAGAAAATTAACTTTTTAAAGGTGTGCTCGTATGAAACAAGACCAAGTAAAATAACAAAACTGGGTTACGGAGATCCACTATGTCACTATGAGCATGTAATTTATAACACCGCAAGATAAACTGCCTCCTTTGTGGACATTAAAAAATAACAGAAACTAGATTTCAGATTGGATCAGACTGGTTTCTTTACCAAAACACAGCCCACTAAACCATGACAGTATGCAAGCATATATAGTCATCAGCTCCGACACTGCTCTGATGAATTGACAAGGAAGGATCTCTGATAACTTCCTTGGAGTCAGTTCCAAGTGTCTGAGGTGGCTGGTCACAGAAAGTACATTGAGGAAGAGGGGAAATGAGCAGACCACAAGTTTCTCAGGCTTTTCTGTCATCTGGTGTGTGGTGCGTTTTGTGGGCCTTATGACACCCAACAAACAACTGTTGGGACAGAGAACAGTGATTCCTTAGTGAAGGCTGCACCTTTTCAGTGGCAGCTACTCATGCCTTGGCTTTCAACTTTGAAAAAACAAGACTAGGTTAGGAGTAACATGAACACAATGTGGATGCCAAAAATGCAAGGAAACAAAACGCATGGATGCTTCAAAGACAATGATGCTACCCGGTGTCAGACTCCTTAATATCCTCTATTATTAAACTGCTATTAGCTCTGCCTTAACTGACCTTTCCAGTTTTAATGGTATGACCCGCTGAGAGTGCCTATCTATAGCAACACTAACCCTTCATTCGCAGAACGGCAGGGGCAGATGCACCGTCTCCGGGCAGGCAGTACGCTTTTTGTCATTTGAAAAGAGGCTTTGCGCCTTGCTCTCCCCACGCCTCCTCCCCCCCGCCCCCCAGTCCCCCAACGCCTTCCCCCACGCCCTCCGTTTTTGGGAGTAGCTAGATCTTGATAGCGGCGATAGAAAGTTGTGCCCAGTCCCTGGATAGCTGTGAAAGCAGGCTGTGCCTACCCAGAGTTTGCATAACTGCTTTCACCGTGCCCCTCCCGCCCCCGCGGCACCTGGGGCGGTCCGCGCCCGCGGAGCCAAGGGGCGCGCCGCCGGCTCTGCCTGCCCTCTTGGCACAGGCAGGGGAAGGGACTATCTCCGGATTTCCACCCCTGCCACAGAAGGAAGGTTACCGGGAAGTGCTGCGAAGAAAGCGAGCCTGTGCGGGCTCGGAAGTGAGAGAAAGACGCAGTCACTTCTCCGCGGCAGCCCTTTCAAAAGTCCGTGTTAAATGTGACACCCCGGCGAAATGGGAGCAGAAGAAACTCCCCTCTACCCACCCCTCGTCGTCCCCCCCGCCCTTTTCCATGGAAACTCGTAAAAGGAGGAGGAGTAGAGTTTGCTACGGAAAAGTCTCACCTTGGTCTGAAACAGTTTCAGGCGTTTATGCAGGATCGGAGCTGCCCTTCTCGGGGGAGGGGAGGAGGCAGGCAGGGAGATCTCTAACTACCTATATACATTTCCCCCGCCCCCCCGCTTGATCTTGTTTTATTCGAGCAGCACGGATCTCCACCCCTCCTCCCCCTCCCTCTCCAGGTTGATCGGCTGAAATGAGGCTTTGCGCGCTTATCCCTTCTCGGGCTTTAAAACAAAACCCGGCCCCGCGCAGCCGGCGGCGGCTCGGGGCGCCTCGGCTCTGAAGCGCGGCTGGGCCGGGCGAGGCGAGGCAGGACACCGCGCAGCGGGGCGAAGGCTCCCGCGGAAACTTCGCTTGGAAAATAAACCTCCACCACTCTCCTGGAGATCCACGTGAGAGCAGGAAAACGCGACTGCAAGATCTCCGCGCTGCTGCTGCATGCTACGATTTTACTTTTTGTTTGCATTGATTGTTTTTTTCTGTTTGTTTGTTTATTCTTACTTTCATTTTGGAACCGGTTCCCGGTTGCTTGGCTGAACTTCTGGAGACCAATGGACCTTTTATATTGCCTTCCTCTGTTTTAAACAAACTGTGGGAGCTTAAACTTTTCTCTTTCCCCCTCCCCCCCCGCTCCTTAACCCCCACCCTTCAGCTCATGGGGCTAACACTGCAAAGCAGCCGCAGCAGAGGGGGAAATACACAGACACTGATTTATTTTTCCGTCTCCTAAATTGTAGTTAATTCTTCTCAACACCGATTCTCTCGCTCTTTTTTGGCTGTCGGGTGTCGATCTGTGCGTTGTTTTATCTGATCTCGATCCTTTTGTTGTTGTTGTTTAAATGTCATGCACTACTTATCTAGAGAGAAAGCTATATGGAGATAGAGGCGTATAGTGAATGCGCGAGTTTCCATAAGACACACTATCAAGGGAGCAGATCAGAAGCAGCCCGGATCCTGACCCTGACTGTATGAATAAGTAAGCAGGATGCTGACGACTGTGTGTTAGTTGCCTGTAAGGTTTTCGTAAGTTAAAGGGGGACGGAGGAGGGGGGACAGACCAGAGACAGAGCTTAGAGTGTTTGTGCAGAGGGGGGCGAAGCTCTGACACTTTGCTCACTCCAGCATAGCTGCTGCCTCCCATCACTAGAGCTCCGCGGTTTGCTGTAGTGCACCCTCCCTCCCCCACCCCGCCCGCTCCCTTTTCTTTCCTTCCTTTTCTCTTTCTTTCTTTTTCTTTTCCCCTCTCCCCGTGGTAGTTTGCTGATGTGCAGCCCGGATCCATCTTCTGGTAGCATCAGCGGGACCGGGGTTGGCGGCGCGGCGGGCGCGCAGCGGGGCGCGGGCCGGGCGCGGAACGGGACGCGGGCAGCAGCCGCCGCCGCCGCCTCCTCCGCGGGAAGTTTGGCTGGGGTTTGACAGAGGCGAGGGGACGCCCTGACAGACAGGATCTCCCAGCCTGAGTCCACCCCCTGCGCCCACCCACACACCCAGAGACTTTTCCCTGACGAGAGGGCAGGAGGGGCAGCGACGCTCATGCTCCTCACTCTGTGTCGCACCCGTCTGACTGGGGCTACCTAGGGGGCACCGTCTCTCGGAAGAGCCCCCAGGTGGAGAAGGAAAAAAAAAAACCCAACCCTTCCACAAAACCTGTCGTTCCTCCATCCCTTACTCTCCTTTCCCAAGCCGGCGTGGACAGCCGAACCGGCCGCCTAGTTCACCCGCGCCCTGCCCACCACCTCTTCGCCCGAGGGAGGATGAAGATGCTTTGCTGGAGGATGGCACTGTGGTTGGCCGGGTGGACTGTCTGCGGGAAGCCTTCCTGCTGCTCTGGCCTTGATTATGACTACACTTACGATTTCACTGAAGAGGATAAAGCCGAGGCGATAGATTATAAGGATCCTTGCAAAGCTGGTAAGTGACTTCCACGTCTAATGCAGCTCCCCGCCCCCTCCCCAGATGGTGACTTTGTCTAGGCTTTATTTACGGCGGGGGTGCGTGAGGGGGGAGTGCCGGTGTCACCTGCTCCGTCCCAGGGCAGCGGCGGCGAGCGCAGCTGGAGCCCCACGTCCAGCTCCCTCACCTGGGAAAGTACCTGAGACCTGCTTTTCCGGGACTTCCCACTTCCCTACCGCTTGTGGCTGGGGTGGGAGAGGGGCGCGGCGGCAGGCAAGGCAAGGCAGGGCAGGGCAGGGCAGGACAGGACCGTCCGCCACCGCTCCGCGGGCCCGGAGGCGTCGAGGCGGCCGCGGAGCCCTCGGGCCACGCCGCCGTCGGAGCCGCGGAAGTTGTAGAGAGCATTGCGGCGGGGCTTAAAGGTTTCGAGGCGGGACCATGCCCCGCAGCACCAGCCGGGAGCACGGAGCTGCTGGGTCGGGCTCCACCTGAGGCTGGCGGCTTCTCTCGGGGCCCCGCCCGTTTCCTTCTCGCCTTCTTCCATCTCAACCTGTCGCCCCCCCCGGCCGGGCACCCCTTCCCATGGGCCGGGGCGGACCCAGGGCGGGCCCTAGGCGCCGGCCGCCTTCTGGATATGGATATGATAAGTGAGAATCCCGAGCGGTAGGGGATGCGCGGGGGATGATAACTGTTTGCTGGTGTTTCAGCCGTGCAAGCCCACGCGTCCTTCTCTTATAACCCGACTAGTAGGTGCTGCGGTTTGGTGTTTTACAGCGTGTGCGGTGGGGCTGCTGCGGTGTCTCCTGCGTGCTCTGTGCCTGACCCAACCCTTCCTAAACTGTGAGGGAAGAGCTGAGTTACAGCCTGTTCTCACTTTGCAGAGCAATTGAGTGGTTTTCTAGAACGTTTATTTTACTGATTTAGGACTGCAGCCTCCTTAACGCCAGGTACAATTATTTACCCGTTAAAGTTATCAGTAACAAGAACTGACTTCAGGAACCGGGTTCACTGGTATTTCAGTAGACAAGTGTATCTCGGTGATTCCTCCCCCCCCCACGTGTTATCAGCGACAGTGGTGGTCCATTCCCTACAGCTCTATTGTTAAACAAGCGCTCAAGTTTTCTAGCAGCCTCCTTTGCCTTAATTAGTTATTTTATATTCTGAAAACTAGTTCAGCCAAAGGTTGTATTCGCTATGTCTGTGTGGTTTTCTTTAATTTATTGAAGAGAATGTGGTGTACATATATGCCAAATATGCAGACACTGTGTTTTTCTAATCACAAAAATACTTTGTTCCTAAGTGTGAATTGTTAGGTCTTCCTTGCTTACAACTGAGGAATGTTCAAGTTCAAAAAGAACAGAAGCAACTGCAAACAAAACATTATTTTTTTTCTCAATTAGCACATGCTACAAAAAATATAAGTAACTGGTCATAGTTGACTCTTTTCTTCTGGTCTGTAATTATTTAAGGAAATTCATATGAATCAAGCAAGAAATGTGTATTCACTCTGTTTGCTGTGCCATTTTTTTAGTACTTCTTGTTTCATAGTGGGAATAATTAGCAATTATAATTCATGATACTAAGTGTTTTGAGGTTATGCATGGGAAAAAGACAACAGTAGAAGACTGCAATGTGATCAGCATTGCCAGTTCTCTGCCATCATTTTGTTTTGATTGGAGAAGCATTTGTTTGAAAAATTTTGCCCATTGAAACATTTCATGGAAGTTCTTGCTGCTGTTGCTTCTTCACAAGTATGTGATGCTTAGGTACTACTACAGGGATGAAAGACAGGTAGGTGCGTGGGGAGTTAGCTGTGTGTAGTTCTTGTTAGTCTTAAAAACAATCACTTTGAGGTTTTCTATTCAATTTGTTTATGTATGGTAGTTCTTCAGAAATGAAAATGCACATCACTGCTGCACATGGGGTTTGTACCGTGTACCCATCATTTTTAATAAAAAATCGAAAGTTCTATATATCAGCGAAACTGATCCTCCACCAGTATTTCCCAATGTAATTTTCCTGCAAAACCTTCCCTAAAGGCTCCATTAATCTTAGCCTGTAAAGTACTGATACCTGATCAAAGATGATGGGAATAGAGGGTGCTCAGCCTCTTTTAGCAGCACAGCCCAAATGTGTGTTCTCCCTAGGTCAGGTCTTATCGTCTGGGGTGGATTTTGGACTTCCATGAGTAAATTTACTGATATCTGCCATTAGGATGGTTTCCACAGTGAAGCCCTAAAGAACGACAAAGCCATTCACACTCAAATTTGTGTGGTCACTTTATGTGCAAGATAACAGGATAAAATAAGATAATCCTTGCTGAGATTGTGTTCAGGGTATGCAAGCTTTGTGTCTTAGATATAATTAACACCTGTTTTTACTGCATCTTGTGGGCTTTCAGCTGAGGCTGTACAAGTGCTTTTTTTTTTTTAACTGTTCAGGCTGGTAACAGTTAGGTCTCAGATGGAAGTGAATTTCTGCAACTTAGCAAAATGGGGAACGCCTAAGGTCATTCATGGTTTTACCTAGTTGCATACTTCAAAACCTCCAGTCATACCCATGCAAATTTTGCAGACATGCTAGAATAATTTGACCTACTCCCAAATATACTGATGTGAGATGGATTCACCAGTATTTTTTAAGTTATTTGCATTCAATTTTTCTCCAGTGAGTAGTGTTTGTGGCTTAGTTTTTATTCCATAAACTGCATGAGAAAACATTTGTAATCTTGTGACAGAAAGCACTGTACATGAGGCATGAGATCTATAGTTGGATAACATTATAATTCTATAGGTCTTTATAGATAGAGTCCTAACTCTGTTGAATAAGTGTTCTTTTGGTAGGTCTCTTTTCCTGTTTTGTGAAAGTGATGGAGAAATTTACCAGAAACAGAATGTGACAGCCTCTGAGGTGTTATTTATGGATATTCTGTGAGATTCTTTATGGGTACTATGTGTGTATTTTAACATTTTTATAAGGAAGGGATCATTTTAGTGAATGTGCCTAGACTCACACTGTTCCTTCAACTTAAAATTCCCAGAAGCAGCACAGTGCAGGATGCTATAGAAGCTGAAAAGTTAATTTTCTTACAATATTTCCAGCTTTGTGAAAAATCCAGGCATAGCAGGTGCCCAGTAGGATTAGGAATTGTTTCTGGAACTGATGTTTCCATTTGTATCTAAAACAGCAGCTATTTTATGCAACA